CAGAATAAAAGAGGCAAGAACTCTTAAGCTTTGGTGATTCATCACTTTGTTCACACACACACACACACACACACACACACACACACACAAACAGTTTACTGCATACCCCCCCAATAATTTTATTGAACAAATAAATATAACTTTTTGAATTGCTTTGTATAATATACATAAGAACCTCTCACTGGAAATAAGAGATCTTAAGAACAGATTTTTAACTAATGAAAATGACCAGGAAAATAAATAGCTCAAGGGTATACACAGTTAGATATCACATAGATGTCCTATTAATTAATTAATTTATTTACTTAATTAAAGACAGAAAAGACTGCCTTGGGAAAAAAGAATAGGGTGGTAGCTAATAAAACATCTATGGGAAATTAATAAATCACGAACAATAATATCCTCTCTTCACTTTGTATATGCTAGGTCCTTTCACAATTACTGTCTTCAATCCTGGATTCTACACGTGAAAAGAGGCAAGAATCTACTAGAGAAGACCCACAGAAGGGCAGCCAAACTATTTAGAAGAACTAGTTGCCATTAATTGTAGACTTCAAGCTAATGTGATTGAAATATTTAATGGCTGCCATAAAGTGATTAGAACTACTCTCTGTTGCTCTTCACAATAGGCATACTTGGTCCCATTTCAGCAGTTGCAACTAAAACAAAATAGGCATACTTGGTGTTTTACTTGTTTGAAATAAAATTTTGAGCCCATTCTAAATGTAATGTACTTTGTTGGGTGAAGTAGAGGAAAAGTCATCAGACAAGAACCCTGTTCTCATAGAGTATATGGCCTAGAAATAAAAGTAAGAGATAGAGGATGAGTACCATCTAGTATCTAAAGCATTGCCTGGTACATAATGGGCACTTAAGAAATATTTTTTGAATGAATGAATGACTGACTGCAACTCTCACGCCACTAACTTTGCGGCCACCTGCTTGATTGAGTTGCATGAACAGATCTGATTGTCACGTGTTCCTTTTTAAAACTGTCGGCTCATGAAGCAGACAACCTTGCCACATGGAAATGAGACATCCTTTATTCACAGTACAAGCATAAATAATACACAAAGCAGAAACTAACAATCGCCTGAAAAGAGAACCAAAGAGTGTACTGGGAATTTTGCGGTTGAATAAATTACTATTAAAAATTACAAGAAGGCATATTTCATCTCAATTTAATAATTAAAGCTGTCCAACAAAGGAACAACTCCCAACTACTCAAATCAAGATTGTGTTTTTTGAAGCCTCTCTTCAGAGGGACACTGTATCCTATACTGTTATGTGGAGACATAGTGAGGGGCTAATTCATCTTGGCAGAGCCATCAGGAATGCAGTCTGCTCTAAACCAAATAATCTACAAAGTGGAATGATTTGTCCACACAGAATTAGACAACTAGTAAATCAGACCACAAAATCTTCCAGAATAAAGTCAACTCTTCCCTTATACAGAACTATGGCCTATACTGTTGCTATAATACACTGCCTGGTTTCCAATTTTAGGCACTGAAATGTGTGACCATTTATTTAAAGGAACAAATATCTAGGAAAGCAAATCATATCAAATAAAAACAAAGATAATACAAAAGATAAACCAAATAATCTTAGAATATAATCAGGCATACTTTCATCTACAGAGTTTTGAATATTCATATATTGACTCTTTCTGGACTTCAACCATAAAACAGAATGGCTCTACTGATTAAAGGCCGCACAGATGTTCTGGCCTGTAGACAATGCATTTATGGATAGCTGACAGCTGGGGTCGCCTTAAAAACTCCAAATGGAATGGATAGCGAAGAGATTTTGAAGTAATCCCCTGCCGCCTCTGACCCCCTACCAAAAACACAACCCCCCCAAAACTAAGGGTTTTCCACAGGTAAAGACAGTTGAAAACACTAACTTAGTGTGCATTTAGCCTAAGAAATTAAGCATTACATGCTTTTAAAGAACGCTTTCTTATTTGAATTGCCAATTTCAAGTTGATATAAGCTTCTCAGATGTTGCCTGCTCATGTGACTGAGTCTTTTCCCTCCTTAAGTCTCACTGAATTCAGATGCTAGTAGTGAGCATAATGTTAAGCATTGCAATTCTGCCTTTATTAGATTCAGGTATATAAAGGACATCCCAGTGAGTGTGGTGAATTTTGATCATTACTTCTCCACTCAAGTTGTGTTCATCTTCCTGCTGAGAGGATGATCAGTGTGTTTTACCATAGACCCAAGGGACCCATTATTTATTACAGTACATTTTATTGTGTGGAGTAAATAAATAGCATTAAAGTGCTAAATTCATTCACAGAGATGAACGGTATTCATAAGCTGGAGAAGTTCTTTAAATCAAGCCTATGCTGCTAATAGGCTCTTCATAAAAATGCAGAAAACATTCATTGTAATATGGCAGCAATAAAGGAAGGCAGCTGGAGTAACACACAGAAACATTAGAAAGCAAACATTCTAGGCAAGGCACATAAACGGCATGTAAGTGAATCATGAGGTTAAACACAGCAAACTCATTTAATAATCTGTCATTTTTATAGACCTGAATTGCAAAAATTCAAACCTTAAAATAATGTTATTCTCACAGAATTTAAAATAAATTAAGTGTACAAATGTATAAAAAGTCCAGCAATCCTGACCCCTCCCCTAAGATGTTCCAATTACTGTGCATTTTGTTTTAATTGGCTTGTTTTATAGTAAAGTCCATTGGGTGGGGAATGTGTATTTGTGTTTTGTACTGTATATAATCCACTCTCATTTCCATTTGTGGTTTCTAGGGTTTTGAGCAATTGCTTTTGGTATAGCTTTTGACTATAAAAGACCTTCTAGCCATCAGTCCTTTGGGATTTTCTTTCCCCATTCCTCATGTGACTTTTAATCATTCAAGGCAGGCTCCAGCTCTGCATTTTTTCCTTGGCAGATTTAAAATCTAGAGAGTTTGAGAGTGACACAAATTCCTTGCCTTCCTTGAACTCTGCTATAGAAAGTCACAATGGGTTTTAAGAGTAGGACACCATGCTACCCTAGCATCTGCTCTTCCTCATACAGTGCTGTACAAACACTACACACAGACTGTGAGTGGCTTAAACAATAGGAATGAGGATGAATGTTCTGTGTCAATTATAATATTTGTTTAGAATTATGAGCTGGTACAACACAGGTATAAGGAACAAGAAAAATGAGTATTAACAGAGTGTCATAGTAATTATTGAAAAACATACTTAACAGAATTCCCATAAGACCTATAATCAACATATTAAAAATGGCAAGGAAAAAAAGCATCCATGTTGTCTTCCTGTTTTTCAGATTTATCTCCATGCTAATGTAATAGCTCAGGGAGTACAGGAAACTGTATATTAAATACAGAATGGAAGCTAAGGCTGAGCCAGGTACACAGAACACAACCAGAGTTTGGGACATGCAGAGAAATTCCAAATGCAGGTGTGTTAGCATCCTTCAAGACAAGCAAGGATGTGTGTGGTGAGGCCAAGAAAGACTCTGAATCAGGGCATACACAGGAACAATGAATGGAACTTTTCAAAATAGAGAAAAAAGGGAAGAACAGGACAAGTGGAAAGGAGAAAGACAGGAGATGCAAGGTTAACTCTCAACACTTCAAGCCCAGAAGAAGAATTAAAAGAGGAGATGAGAAAAATACAGGAAAAATAATCAGATCTAGCTATCAGAGATTAGGGGTAAAATCTACTTTTTAACCATACACAATAACTTTCTACAAGTTGCCACAGGCCAAGTGTACATACAGATGCTAGCTTCCCTATCTAGGAATGAACTCCTTTTAAGTACTCCTTTAAGGAACCACGGAAGAGCAAAGTAAGGAAGAAAGGGAAAGACCAGGGCTAGGCAGATGTTTGGTTCTTTAATCTCAACTGCTGAAATAAGAAATATTGATGCTATCTCCAATCCAGTTCCTCTAAAATAAGTCCTGGAAGAACTGGGAAGGGGTGATGGTGGGTGGCTGATGAGTCAGAGGTAAGGAACAGAATTTGGGATTTCCAACAGGTAGCAGCTTTAAGATGGCAGTGCTTAGACCTCAAATAAGGGAGCCTATTTCCTGACAAAAATTCTTAAAGGTGGCCAGGCATGGTGGCTCGTGCCTGTAATCCCAGGGCTTTTGGAGGCCAAGGGGGGCGGATCACGAGATATCTTTTCTTCTGTACCTATGCTACCCCCAGGTGGATTCATCCAGTCTCATGACCTTACAAAACACTAGAACATTGATGACTTTCAAGTTTATATCCATAGTATTCCATGCCAAGCAATAAGTAACCACTACCCACACATGATTATTTAAATTTTAAGATTAAATAAGATAACCAATCAATTTCTCAGTTGTACTGAGCACATTTTAAGTGCTCAATATCCACACATAACTAGTGGCTATTATATTGGACAGTGAAGATATAAAACATTTCTATCACAGTAGAAAGTTCTTTCAGACAGTGATAGTCTGGATCTCATTTCTGAACATTAGAGTCACGTATTCAACCAGCTACTCAACATATACACTTGACTATCTAACAGACATCTCAAATTTAGCATGTCCCTAACCAAACTCACTATCTTACTACCCAGCCAGCTTCTTGCTGTAGTCTTCATATAGTATCGTGAAATTACATTCCCATTATTACTGTTAACTTACGTGAAAAACCTTTGCTTGACTCCTATCTTTCTTACATGCACATTAAACCAATTGGAAAATCTTTATACTTCATCTAGAATGCGACCACATCTCCCCTCTCCTGTCGCCATATCTTACCATTAATTACTGCAATGGTTTTCTGCTCTCTGCTACTACTTTTATTCCCTTACAGCATATTCTTCATATGGCAGCCAAGTCCATCCTTTATTTATTTTAAGATGGAGTCTCTCTCTTTTGCCCAGGCTGGAGTGAAGTGGCATGAACTGGGCTCATTGCAACCTCTGCCTCCCAGGTTCAAGTGATTCTCCTGCCTCCGTCTCCTGAGTAATTGGGATTACAGGCACCTGCCACAATGCCTAGCTAATTTTTAAATTTTTATTAGAGATGAGGTTTCACCATGTTGGTCAGGCTAGTCTTGAACCCCTGACCTCAAGTGTTCCACTTGCCTCAGCCTTCCTCAGTTATGGGATTACAGACATGACCCACCATGCCCAGCCCAAATCTGTCCTTTAAAAGGTGAAATCAGATTATGACAGCCCTCTAGTCAAACCTCTGCAATAGCTTGCCACTTCACTCTGGATAAAATTCAAATTCCTTATTACCATTTAATGCCCTTAAATAATCATGCCCCTAGCATGTCTCTGATGTCATCGTTGACACACTCCCTTCCTTGGTCACTTGTCTTCTGGTATACTGGTCTCAGAGTTGTTGTCCACTACCAGAAACGCATCTCTCCCAGGCATCTCATGGTTGGTTCCTTGAATTCATTCAAGTCTTTGCTTGACCACGTGCCCTCAGCACCCTATGGTAAGCAGCATCCTATCTAACTCCTTCTTAGCCTGCTTTATTTTTCTTCACAGTACTTAACACACCTGAGACATTTGACATTTGCTTATTGTCTGCCCCTGCCATTAGAATGTACACTCCTTGAAAGCACGTTTTTTTTTTTCATTTCTTGATACATAACAGGAGTTAAATAAATATTGTTACATATAAACACTCATTACATCATGGTGGTAAATGCTCGAACAGAATGTTAAAAGAATGTTCTCCAAATCTGTCACCTCAGCCCACCAGGTGGGATTACCTCAGTCAGGCAAATACTGTCACAGCAAATACAGAGATAGAGGTACAAACAAACATTCAGGAGAGATTCCCAGTATAACATGTTACACAGAGAGGAGCAGGAACACAATTAGGGAATCTCGGAAAGAGAGTCTGGGGGCTCAGGCCCCTGACCAAGAAGCAAAGGAGTCTTCTAGGCTGCCCTTCAATGCTTGCGGCTCAACGGACACCCTCCAGCCAGACTGTGCTGCTGCTATTTCTCTGCCTGCTCGTTAGCAATAGGCCAAGAGCATGCAATCAACATAGAATCAAACTAAAACAAACCATACAGTGGCTGAGCAGCTAGGAAACCCCGGAATCTTTCACATACATCAATGGAGTTCACACTTGAACAACACGGTGAGCTAGGAAGTATTTGCTCCATCGTACAGGCGAGGAAACAAATTCAAATGATTAAAGAACTTGCCCTAAGTCACAAAGCTGCCTGGCTAGAATTTTAACCCAAGCACGACCCCAAAGACTCTGCAACCTGAGATAAGTTAATACAGCTACTGAGGGTGGTATGCACCCTAGCAATGTAGGCACCAATCTTTAAACAAGATACTTTAAATTCACAAACACCCTCCCCACAGCAGTTATTTGCAATCTTAATGTTCAGCATTAAAACCCATCATGACTTTGTAATGCCAAAAGTTGAAATGACTAACCTTCAGGAAATCTACCAAAATTTCATTAGAAACTTCAATCTTAAAAAGAAAATGAACTTCCTAATACCCCATCTCCCTCGCTAAATCACACAGCTACCATGATTATTCTACACAGTTATTCGGTAAATAAAATAACTGTGGAAATAAAATGTTTTGATATAAAAATAAAATTAGAGAAACCACATTCCTTAGAGTCATTGTAAGTGTTCCTCAGAAATGGAAATGTTGTCTCCTGAGGCCCTTCAAGAAGCTTTACGTGAATGAAAGGGTCACTGAAGGAATTTATTTCATGTTTCAGCCCACCTAGTCTCCCTCTCTTCCCAACTATCCTCTCTTACCCCAAATATACACAAATGCATTTTACCATAAATTTCTGTCTTTTAAAACTATACATATTTAGAAGATTCAGGGTAAAGGGATCTATCTTCTCATGCGTTAAACACACTCAGGCATTTAATGAACATAGTTCTTTCTTCACTCCTGTTTCAATATTACCTAATTGGTTTCTAAAATTAAAAGGTTTCCATTCTAAACTTTCCATGATTTGTCACTAAATGAGAAATTCTGAATCCTCAGGAAAACACTGAGCACTTTCTTCAGTCGTCTTCCCCCCACACACACACAGGTGCCCTGCCTTGGCCTGTGTCCCCCCCCACACACACAGGTGCCCTGCCTTGGCCTGTGCCCCCCCCCCACACACAGGTGCCCTGCCTTGGCCTGTGCCCCCCACACACACACAGGTGCCCTGCCTTGGCCTGTGCCCACCCCCCCCCACACACAGGTGCCCTGCCTTGGCCTGCTGCCCCTCCCACACACACAGGTGCACACACATTGTTGACTCTCCCCTCCTCAGCAATGACTTGCCCTGCCGTGTGATGTGTGGACCTTGCCCTGCACTAAGGCAGCCTCAACCGCTGCACATGCCAGCCAAGAGGCCACAGAAGTTCCTTTTCCTTACAACTGACAGAAAAGCTGCTTACTACCCAGCTAGCTTCTTCCTGTAGTCTTCCCATAGACACCTGAAAATGCTGTGCAAGGGATCAGAAGCTCATGCAATGTGAGGCCATTGCTTCTCCTCTCACCACTGCAGACGCTGCATCCACCAGAGACAGCTCGATTTGACTCCTCACCGCCCCCTCCAGTCATGGCTTCCCTCAGTGAAGGGAAGAATCGGTGTTAGTGTGCTGGTAGTGGCAATGGGGAAGAGAATAAAATGCTTTCTTGCCAAAAAAGGGGAGTTCACCCAACAGGACCTACTTACTAGGAAGGGAAACAGAATAGAGTATGAAGTGACAGGCAAAAAAAAAAAAAAAAAAGGGAGAACAATTCTGTTGTGCACAACAAGAGGGGCCCACATATTCACCTCTATCCTCAGATCCCCATCACCACCTCCCCTTCCCATGCCTCACCCCAAAGCTGCCATCTGACCCAGGCCATATAACGCCTCTTACACCAGTGACCCCTGGAGGCTGCCTCTCACTGCCTGGCTCTATCCAGAAAGGCACCTCTGGCCCAGGCCCTGGGAACCATAACTAGGGCATGTTGGAGGTGATGCTCCCATTCGCACAGCTAAGGAAGGTGCACTAAATAAGCTCTAAGGTCCCCTCTGTTGACCATGTCCTAACATAGCATGAGCTTCTGATCCATGCACAGCATTCGGTAAGAAGAAATGTGCTCTTAGAACCTCAAGTCTAACTCTAAGCCCATTCCCAGGACACATGGTTAAGATTTTAGTTAAATTTGAGAAAGCCACAGTAAGATACTAGAAAGACATTATGGACAAACGTGTATTGCAGAAGTTTGCACCAAACAAGATAATATAAGATTAGGTCTATGAGAAAACGCATTCTGAATTCCAAACAACTGACTTACAAGTGAACCAGATGTATGAACTATAATCTATTTACAAGTAAAAAAATATATTGTTACGATTGTATGGGGTTCCCTGCTTATAGAAAAGCTTCACAAAACAGGCAAGTAAACAAATGACCTAAAGACACCACTGAATATTCTGCAATATACATTTTTATTTGACTTACACATGTTTCTGGAACACAATGATGAGAAAAAGGCCTTCTTATATTTTCCATTCGTACAGTTAATGGCTTTATTCCCTTGCCTAGACTCATTGCACTTCCCCTGACATAAAAAAACATTCAGAATATAACCCATACAGGGCTTCTGTAGTGCATCAGGTTTTAACACTGAGTCACTTGATTTGTCTGTGGAGCATGAAGGAGAGAGGCCCACCAGGGCCTAAAACATGATATGGCTATTAAGGCAAAAAACATCCCAAATCTTAGGATAGGCAGCAGATGAGAAAATTACAAATTAAAAAAAAAGAACAGCAGACAAATTCAGATATCATTGTGGGAAAACAGCAAAAAGCTTTTGGTTGTATAGTCTATTTTTTGTCTATTTGATTGTAAAGGCTATTTATGTAAGAGATTGTACCAAATGCACTAGCTGTTGGAGTTCCAAAACTGAGTGACTGAGCCTGGAAATACAGCTAACATTCTTGTTATTAAGTCTTGCATCGCAACAATTAGAAACAAAATGTTTGAAGAAAATGCAAATGTAATTGTGAAATGTGCAACAAGAAAACAATAACCTTCCATGAAGACAAAAGAGTGAATTCAAACCAAGAGGGTCCATAAAATACTTCGCTTAAGTACACGGTGGAAAACTAGAAGCAAAATGCACCGCACTGGGCTTGGGCAAGTATTATACTCCACGTGGGCTCAATAAACATCAGCTAATGCTTCCCGGCAGTGTCTATAACTTATTTATCTACCCACTTATGCTCTCAATGCCTCAATTTCCCTGTCCAGAAAATAAACAAATACTTACTATAAAACAAAACAGCCATCTATACTCACAGAGGGGTTGGGAGGCTTAATTTCAGTTTCAGAAGCATTTGGAAGAAGGCAGATGATAGATGGAAGTGTCAGCCATCATCACTGCTCACAACTGCTCTTGTGGCAAGCAGGTTAGAAAGGCAGCATGCCAACTCTCCAGGCTCCTATGTTTTCTGTCATGGGAGAGGTGTTCTTTTTACAAAGCCACACTCTTCTTGATTACTTAAGGTATGGAGGAAAGATGAGAACTGCTAGGGCAGTAAAACTGGATAAAGCTCAGTTCCAATGCTTCACATTAATAAAGATTTCCCTTAATGTATGACAGGTATTTGTGCCTACAAAATATGTATAAATTATTTCCTAGGAAGGGTAAGACAGAATGGAAGAAAAGGAAAAAGAGAGAAAGAGGGAAAAACGGAGGGTAGAAGAAGACACCCATCTGGAAAAGCCCAGACTTCATCACTATGCAACATACCCATGTAAGAATCTGCACTTGTATCTCCTAAATATAAAAACATTTAAAAAAAGAGAGAGGAGAGACTAAAGTGGGCTTTGAACAGAATTGAAGAAGAAAAAAAATCTTTGATTAGGTTCTTGATTGTAGACCACTGGTTCCTAACCCATCAGTCTATAAATTACTTGAGAAAGAAGTAATTGTCGCGATCACTCTTCCATCCCTAGTGACTGGCATAGTATCTGGCAAACATTAAGCACTGACGAAAGGCTGAATGAATAAATGGATGAATATCTATGTCTCAACGGTTAGTCAAAGCCTAACCAGCTACCAGAAAGCTGACAGTAATGGTTCCAGCTGCTTATAAGCTGCTTTAAAGATTTTAAATGTTTCCATCCCCTTAGCATAACCCTTAAAAGTAGGAGAGAAGAGGGAGGGGGAAAAAAAGGCAGCATCTCTCAACTCTACAAAATGTCCACCACATTAATATATGACATGGCTATCAATCTGTACACCAGTCACCCCAATCCATTCTGCAGAAAAATCACTGCTTCCAACATAATACACTAAAACAAATTTATAAATGTTAATAAAATTTTTAAAAGGTCAGGTCACTACTTCCTATAACATATGTCAGGGAAACCTAATATATCTCAGTATCAGGTCATTGGCAGGACAGCTATGACATTAAAGGATGGAGAAAATGGGATTTCTTTGCTTTTAAAATTAGTTAACCAGCACATCCGTCTGTTTCCCTCTTGGATGCCTGGTATGGAGCAAGAACTGTAACAGGGGAAATTTATTGAAACATACCATTAAATCAATATGGCAGAGCATTCTACTTTATGCCATGCTATAAAAGTCATGCATGTGGGAAAGCTGAAGGAAACAAATTGGTACTGAAAATAAGAACAGAAATGTTTTAAAAAGTAAATGGATTCCTAGAATTTATAAATTTGGTAGATGAGGTAGCAAAACCAGGGTCTTGAAATAGGCCTTGAAACTCTTTTGCTCTTAGGCTAAAATTGTAGTAAGCTCTGTTACTTGAGAATCTAGCTTGAAAATGACAAAACAAGAATGAAGGTTCTGGCTGGATTAACAGAAATTACTTTGGAAGAAGGCAATAAAATTGGATTTATAGAAGAGAGTCATACTAGGGCTTTATATTGTCACAGATGCTATATTTTTGTAGATCATCCAGGAAGATTCAGAGGGCAGGAGGGAAATGTACTGTCAAATAATTCTGCTGTGGGGTAAAAGGTGTTCTGAATATCTCAGAAGCCAATACTGAAAATATAGTGTATGTGTCATAGTGACATTCTGAACAGATTATAAAAAAATCCTAAGCCACTTCAAACCATTCAATAGTTCATGGTCAACTCTTAGAAACCCCAAATTTGACACATATCACAATTACGTTAATTTATAGAATCTGCTAAAAGGATTACTTTCAGAAGTCTTAGAATTATTCGAGTTTAAAAATGAAAGCAGTCTTAGAGATTAACTGGTCTAATATCCACATGAGCACCATTAGCTTAAATGTTTACAGCAATTTATGAAGCATATTTGTACACGTTTGATCCCCATAACAATCATGCACAATAGAAAAAGTTAACTGATTAACTTGAGACCACCAGTTAACCATGTAAAAGTCAAATGAAAAGGAGAATGACACACATGCTTCTCACTAAATTAATAATGGGAAAAAATGCACGGAAAATGAAACAAATCAGTATAGATTCCTGTGATCACAGTTTAAGTGTCTATAAGTAAAAATAACAAGGAACTAAAAAACTCAACATAACAATTTGCAACACATAGGAATACCACAGGAAAAGGAATGAATGAACTATACCAGGTTGGAAATAAAGAGCATTGCGTTTTTGTTTAATACAGTAGAGACTCCCCTATCACTGTAAAATGGTGCATGTATCTTTTTCAGCCAAGATACATGTACTTTCAAAAACAAAAGGATACCATGAAAATGACCTGGGCCAGCAGATTGTTTCTTCGCATCTTTGGATGAGTTTTTTTTTTTTTTTCTTTTTACATTACCTTATCAAAAACATGGAAAAATCCCCATCTTGCATGGCTGCTCAGCCTACAGAGACCCATTTTGTCACAAGCCATTAGTGTTCATCATTACACAGCTTAATGCAGGTGTCTGTTCCCTTTAGCGAACTCTGCATAGATTTATCTTCAGCTAATGCAGCAGAGGCTAAGGGAAACTACGAAGGTCTCTAGATTTGTTTGCCTTTATGGGATAGCATGCTGAAGTCATTCTGGGCC